ATTCAGTTAAGAATGCACTAAAAGCTTCACATGTTGCGCTGTGGTTTGTCACCACCACAAAAAGGAATATTTCAGATATTAATTAGTTTCACTTTACTGCGGAACAAATCACAGTAAAGCAATGGTTTGGATTAAGGATGACTGCGTTCTAACGCCTGATCTGAGACGGATGTACACTATTTACACACAAACTGGAGGCTGGGGGCTGCAACTACTACTATAAAATATCATGTGCATCCTCTTGCATTAAGGAGTGTGGATAAGGACAAGGGAGTATGCGTGTTATGAGTCTGTGTTCACACACACTCACATACAGACATCCATAAAGTATTAATAACCTTTCTTAACGCCTCACGTGGTTACACCTCACTTATCTATGACCTTTTTCAGCTTTATTACCGAGTATCTTAAATTTCAGGTGCCATGACATTTCTACATTAGCCGTTATCCCACTCTAATTACCTGTCAATGCCTAATTTTAACCCTAACTCAGTAAAAAGAAATGCACAGGGACAGGTTTTTATGTGTTAACATTTGGGACATCTTATTTAATATTTTTTACACAGAATCTCAATCTGTCATGTTTCCTGAGCCCATATGACTTGCAGAGGTTTTATTCTGCACGAACCAAAGGAAAATCAAGACATTTCTCTCTCTGTCTTTCTCATTCTCCCACGCTTTCTATCTCTCGCTAACTTTTGTCTCTGCGAGTGAAGAGAAAGCCTCGCAGCCTTTGAAGCAGGCTGCGTGGAGTGTCTGTGCGCGAAGCCGGCTTTTCTCCTCATTGTTTGACATCACAGCGATTGGGTCTGGGCTTGACAAAATATACATATGTACCATGTATAATGTATAACATTGTTCTCTTTATATGCAGTATGTGCAAATGTGATACGCCTGGAAAAAATCGGACCAGTTTACCAATTGAAGCCACGCACCTGCAGCGTACCTGTCAAAATAAAACCATTAAAAGCAAATCAACTGCGCTATTCATTGAGCAGTCAATGAATAGCCTAGCCTAACATTCTATATACCACTAGAATAAACTGATAATTCATTCATAAATGTGTTGATTAAGTCTTCATGGCATCTCTATGTTGGTTTTGAATCTGCATAAAATCTATGAAGCCTTTTCTCTCGTGTCTTTTTGGTGCATGATGCACTTTGTCGCTCTGTGGAACACTTTCTGACGCTTGATGCTCGTTAAAATTAGAAACTGACTATTACTCCGTCTTTCTCTCACTTTCACTTTGCAAAAAAATGAAGTGAAGTCTTTGATGCTCGCTCAATGAAGAGAAAAGCGTTTTTGTTTTGCTGTGTGAAGAAGAGAGCGGCGGCTTTTCTCTTCATTGTGTCTGACATCAGCACAGCGCTTGGGTCTGAGCGTGATCGAGGGCATGTTTAGTTTCACTTCCTTCCTCTTTTCCATTTCCTGATTTCCTGTGCATGTTGAGGCTCACGGCTGGTCTGTGTGAGAGGCTTTCAGCTGCCGGTGGGTTTGCCACATTGTGCTCAACTCTGAATCCGCAGTTTATAATCCTGTGTCATGGAGAACAAGGCAACAGTAGGCTTAACAAGTTAGGGGCAAATTTCCAGATTTAAATTTCAATCAAACCATACAAGCTCAGTTTTGTGTTTTTAAGCAGTTGTTTGTGTTTGTTTGAACATAATCTATCAATGGCTGGCTCATGGTGCCAGCCTGTTAGCTAGTTTGTTTTTAGCACACGTTTTTGGTCGCAGCATTATGACAGAATGAAAGTCACACACACCAATTCACACAAGCAGCGTTTTGAATATATTTGTAGTCTTCTCAGTAAAATCTGAGATTCAGCAGAACTTTGATGGAAGGATGGAAAGGCTGCATGCTGCATGTATGACCACATGGTTGGTTCGTTACGCCACGACAAACATTGCATAGTTCCTCTTAACGTTAAACCGTTGATTTTCACAGAGTGAGACATAAAAACAACTGCTGATTATGTGGTGTTTTCTCTTGTATGGCAGCACAATGCAGCAGTTGCTGTGGTCGCGCTGCGTCTAGACTTTGTAATTGAGTCATTACAACCCTATTAAAACTATGATCAAAGAGGGTGAACGTTTGCTTTACACTGACCTTAACACCCTGAACTAGAACTTTGAGCTCTTTGCTTTAAACATTATAGCAAACCTTGTCATGCGCACATGCACAGAGCACACATTCACAAACCCATGCATCATTCTTCATCTTTCACCACAAGAGCACAGGTCATTTCATCAGTAAATAGACTGATCTCATAATGTCACTTATTTTGCCTGGCTCTTTGTTTCATGGACAGAACTGACTCTCTACTGTATATAGCCCATACAAATCACCCAAACACAGTTGAGATGAATGAGAAGCAGCCCGCCCTGATGCCAACATCACACATGTCAACCCTCCAGAGCATTGTGCCTTAATTACGCAGCCAACATCGACACAGCGGGGTAGCCCTTCGGGGCCCTTTATGTCCTCTGAGATGCGTCTGCCGAGGCCCGGCAGACTCTTTGTAGCTCTGTCCCTTCACTGCCTTTGTCTTTCCATCACATGGGTCCCATGGGTGAGTCCACAGTGGCGTCCCATGTGTTATTATTGGCCAATGATAAAGTAGCTGCCACGGCCCTCATGAATTATGCAGAGTAAAAGGGGAAGCGACTCCGCCCTCAGTTATGTAAATTTAACTTTGAGGAGACACAGGGAGGAAAGGTGCTGGGGGGGGGGGGTCCAGGGAGTTGGTGCAGCCTCACATGGTGTGAATGTGTGTGAAAGGAGAAGGCACGAGTCATGATCTACTAACATACATATGAAGTAGTAAAGTGCTAGAACCAATGATTAATATTCAATGTTTACAAATCTTGAACTATTTATCACAACAGTGGTGTCTGGCAGGTTATAAAAATCAATAAACAAAAGACGAAACTGCAGCGGCTGTATTTCATGAGAAATTATAACCACTGTGGTTGATCTGGCAAAGAGACAAGGACCACCGAAAAAAACCTCACACTTTACCAAGAAAAATATTTCACCCTTGACACTATTCAATTGGCAGATGACCTCTGAGAAACGCAGTTCAAAAACATTGTATAAACAAGCCCGACACATGTGAACTTGCATGTGTGCCTTGTATGTTTATGGGACTACTACTAATGCTAATTTAACCCCTAAATTTAGCTTCATCAGTGCCTTGTGTGAGTAAGCCATCCAGCCATGCATAAAACAAACTGTGCCTAAAAATAACCCAGTCTACTCTGGGCCAGGCCAGGCACTGAGCGTAATAATAGTTCACAACCTCTCTTATGCATGGCAGCTCCATTCCATGTTATTATGTCATGACTGACAGCAAACACTGACCTATTGATGACTCTCAATCAGCAATTGTATTGCTGCTAGCAAAAACTTCGAACAGTAAATGGACCAATCAGCTTCTCGTCTTACAGTCCCAATCTAGTTTCCTCTGAAATCTACAAGTAAGCAGATCCTTTAAAAGTTGATTTCCATTGCCATTGATGACATTAAAATCCAATTTTTTTAAATTGTGCACTCGACCTGTGTGCTTTAAGTTGAACAGTGGGTACCAAATTAAATTTTGAAAGAAAGTAACTGCATATTATAGTAACCATCCCACTGTGACATTGAGTTTATGGTGCTTTTTTCCAGGAAACAAGCCTAACATCAATAGTACTGATATTCAAACCTCAATCACCTGCTTTGCATCAGATGAGCGCATTGGAGCATCAATTACATACAATACTGTAGTCTGTCTGTGTGTGTTACTGGTACAGTCTAATTTTTATAGAGCAGGTCTGCAGGCTCAGTAGGTGAGCGTCTACCTCACTGTGTGTTGACACCGAGCCAGACAACCAGATTCACTGTTATGAAGGCGAATATTAATCTGCTCATAGCTCCGGCTGTCCTGTATTTGAAACAGATGGCATCTGACAAACAGGAGCCACGTGGCCACAGCTCTTGCTACATATAGATTAAAAACTAAATTTTAAATAGATTTAAAAGAAAACAAAATGTATAGACGCTTAAATATGATATATAAATCAAAAAAAGAGAAATAAACAAAAACAACCAATCAGGAGATTGTAATTACATTTGTTCCTTCATACTGCCAGGCAAGACAAACTAATAACGTACTTGCATGAATTGTCAATAAAAATGTATAGCCTATTATCATAAAATACCGGATTATTCATACATGTTGTTAATCCTATGAGATACATCCACTTCCCTGTTTGGGATAGCCTACAAAGCCTTGTCACCACTTAACTTCTAGTCTCTGAGGGCAGATTAAGCTCTGCATACATGAAGCGTCACTGAACTGTTATGTGTAACTGTTAGCCTATACTATAAATTACTATAAGTAACCTTAACAAAGGGGTGCAGTAAAGTAATGAGCGAAAATGACATAAAACGAACTTTATTTCACAGTGACTTGTAAATTTCACCCAATGCTTTCAAATTCCGTTAAATTCATTGTCAATTTAGTGTTTCCTTGCTTATTGTATTATTGTGTCATAAAGCAACAATTAAGAGCCCCTCACAGAGGCATGGATTGCCTTTTTTCTTCTGCACATATTCCATAGGCTATCACGGACTAGAGTGAATATAATTTTAATTTATATCAATTATTTATATCAATTTATATCATTTGTTGACTTCTAATTCTTCTTCTTCTTACCGTTTTTCCGCGACCAAAATATCCACTGGGGGCGTAAACGAGCGCTAAACAAAATGTTTAAAAGTTCAAATCTTCTTAAAACCAAGTGCTAACTTGTGGATTATGCTATGCCGAATTTGATATATATATTTTTTCATTTGGAATCAGCTGCATTAGTGTTCTAGCAGGTATGCTGTTTTTGCCGACATGCAAGGAAACTTTAAACTAGCATCATTGTTTAGGATGTCTGGTTGCGCTCTCTCAGTTGTACTTTGGGGACGGAGCGAGAAGCAGATATCAGGTTTGCCTTTCGTTCCTTACCTGTGACATTTGCGGTCGGAGGTTGATTTCCTTTAGGTTGATGGACTGGGGCCTCAGGTTGTTGAGCAGATGGCAGAGGAGGACTCCATCCCGGAGGGTTTGGGCCAAGTCAAATACCTGTGCAGACTCCCATGTAACCCGGTGGTTAGCTGGAAGCACCTTGCAGTTTATTAACCACAGCGCGCATTGCCTCCAATACTCCATCATTATTCTGACTTCAGCCGGACGAGCGTCAAGCGAATCTGTTCTTTTAAGCAAGTGAAACTGCTGACGGCTCGGTAGTGCGTCTTAAATCGTCTCCATGCTACATCCGCCAACTGTAAAACCCGATGAAAACAGAAGGGGACCACGGCGGAGGTCTAGTGGAGGATGACAGTCCGGTGTACTGAGGCTGTGGATGGAGCTCTGCCTGCACTCTTCCTCTCTCGCCCTCTCTCGCTCTCTCACTCACACACACACGCACACACACACACACACACACACACACACTCACTCACTCTCTCTCTTTCTCTCTCTCTCTGAATGTGTCTAAATGTCTCTCCTCCCTCCCCCTCACCCAGTTCTTCACTTCTTCCGCTTGCCACCCAGAGACTCGTTGTGTAGCCTACTATCTGAAATTACAGTGAAATATATTCCTACTTGTTAGTATAGAGCAAAACATAGACTGAAGGGGGGGAAAAACATGCATTTCTCAAATGATATCAACGAACATGCTAATTATTAACAGCACATTATCAAGCAGCATGTCCAAGTTCCTGCTGAATGCAAATATCCCAGCTGCACATTGAGTAGAATAATAGAGCTATGCTGTCAATTAATGATTAAACAAACCAAATGAGTGCATCACTCTGAGATACAGACCCACTTTACTGTTATGGTTTCCAAAAAAGTTTGACATTTACGATGATGTAGTCATGATTTATGACTCATGAAACCATTGAAAGTCTTCATTTGACATTAGTCATAATGAGGTAAGTTGAAAGTAGTCAATAGTTCAATAACAGTCTTCGTATTGCATTAAGTGAAAGGCTATGCACTGCATAATTTTATAAATAGTTTCTGAGATATGTTCTCTATTTCAGCATTTATAGTTAATGCTGTATCAATAAATTACAGGTAATGTGACGTCTTTTGTTGGTATATATTTTATATTTATGCTTTGTACATTCATATATTAATGAATGGTTGCATGTTTGTTCAGTGATGTATCACAGGTCTTTTTTACCAGAACTTTGAACCTTTCATTTGCATGAATCTCTAATAATAATAATCAAAGAAAGTCATAGTGTTTGGGAGGAAACTGTACTGATTTTTTGAACTTTGGAGGTTTTGGTAGAGTAGTGTTTAACAGTGCTGGTGTCACGGTTGGGTTTTGCTATGTGTGAATGTGGTGTGTGTTTGTCTGTGTGTGTCTCCTGATCATGCTTATTCTCTCCACCTGTGCCAAATCACCTGCCCCTGGCTTTTCCCTTTGCAAACCCCAGTCATCTCTACTCACCTGCCGGCAATCCGCTCATCAACCCTCACCTACTTATACTCTCCTGCTTGCCCTGTTCCAGTTGCCGGGTAATCATTTGACTTTTTCCTCCCCGTGGACTCTTTGCTCGCCGGTGGTCATATCTCGTGTTGCCCCTCTGTGGTCCACGGTTTGTGACTGCCTTTTTGTGTCCAAGCCCTTTTTTGTGACTTTGCTTTTTATTTTCAGTCTGGATTTTCTTTGCTCCCGGTTGGAGTAGATTTTGGTTTCTGTTTTTGTCTAAGTGCCCAGTAAAGAGCCTTGTTTTTCACCTCACCTTGTGTCCTGTGTTTTAGTCTGCGCCTGAGTCTCTTATCCACTCCTAAACCCACACGGTAAACCGTGAACCGTCACAGCTGGTGTTATGTTGAAATGTAATCTTTGTACTGTATGTTAACTGTAATTCTGCTCCTTTACCAGACTTACGATAAGAGACCTGTCTTCTGATTTGCGTCTTTATTTAGTTGGCATTTGGGTTTGTGGTGCTCACACTCAATGAATGGAATTTGGAGACCATTGTGCTTCCTTATTTTGACACAATAACAAAAAAGGATGTGTACAGCTACATCGGTTTAGGAGGGAAAGTTGTTTTTAATAGCATTTACTGACTGGATTATTGCAGTACAGAGTGACATACTCCCCCATCTTCATCTGCCTACCACAGATTGTCTCCTACCAATTTATATTATTCCTTTTTACAATTAAAGACCAATTAGGTGTTTCTCCTCCATCTAAATAAGCCTTTTTCAGTTTATGATCACCGCCCCTGCCATTGTTTCCTCTGTTGTGGGGAAAGTAAACAGAACTACTTCTGTTTTTACACATATTTGTAGGTGTGACATTTAGATTTGTGTCCAACACAAATATCTAATGAAGAGGCCATACATCACGATATGTTTCACTGTAACAATATTACTGGATTATATACCTAAATAATATGGTTTGAGAATCTTTTTTGTTAATGACTATAGGAACTCTCACAGAAAGAGGCAAATACGTGTTAAGACATACTTTAACAAAGCATTAACATTTCTAACATAACATTCTTGCCAAATGCATTACCCCGCTAATCATCTCGCTAAGAGGCACGCATGATTGGCATGACTGAGCCAATATATGGTCTAACTGAAGCTGGGTTTATCTTATATTGCCTCCATGTGATAATGCTGTATGCCAGCTGCTCGATTTATGAGCATCAAATTAAATGTTTTGAATTGCGCAGCAATGAGAATGGAAAGGATGTTGGATCATTACAGTATGCACAGGCTGTCTTTGCTCCATCTTCACCAAATGCCAGTGTATTATGTGGCCTTATAGTTTGTGCCCAGACATACAGAGTGGCTCAGAGAATATGAAATAGTACAACGCTCTCCTCTGTCACTGTCAAGTTGCTGTTGAGCCCCAACTGATCTAGACGAGCTGCAAAGTGAGAGTGCACCTGCAGTACAATTCAGATTGACACAAGTTTTTACCGATCCCTGTTGGACTATTACAACAAAAAGTAATAGGCTACATAAATACTGTAGTAAACGGGATTAAATAGATAAACATCTGAATCAGATGTTTGTGCAAAAGGGGATTTAAGCATCAGAGCGACACAACAGAGGGACGTGATAAATATAGCATTCTAAATGTATTACAAAAAGTATGAATTACATAACAAAAGACACCGATGAGAAATCCAACATGTGAAAACGCAATCCTCTATATAGCGCAGGGTGTGCTGGTAATCACATTAACAGCCCTACATGAGGCTGCTCTTATGGTATGTGCAGAAATGATGGAAGATAAGAAGAGAACTACACACCGACAAGATTCATTTCCTTTTACAGATAGAAACGAGATTCACAGAGACCCTAAGATTTGCAGAGGAAGGACCCTATGCAGTAGAAGAAGAATGTATGCCGATGAATCATACCGGGTACATTTACATACAGAGGCCTGTGCAAACAATGCTGTGAAGATTAGTTTCCAGCATTTTGCAGTTGTAAACCCTTCTGTGACTACGTCATCTCCCCTTCTTCTCTTCATACTTGTGCAGATGATTTGGATGAATGTCAGAGATGTCAGGTCTCCCACTCTTTTGTTTGTCCACATTGTATTCAAATCAAGACTGATCAGGAGTGGAGGGAGTTTGTGTGGCTCAGCGTCCAGCTTTGTCTTCCGCTGGCTTGCGAAGTCGATGCCATGGCTGGCATAGCACAGATGACAAGAGAGGTGGCTAGCAGCCGGATGCTGGCATACCTCTCGGCACCCTTCTCCTGTTTCAGCTTCACTCTCCGCAGCCGAGAAGGACAGCCATGCAGCCAGACAATTATCAGCATTCCTCTGCTGTGCAGGGATGAGGCGAGGCACACAAACACAAAAGTGTAACACAATCATACATTTGGGAAATTGCAATGCTCCCAGTTCTTTTTAAAATTGCCCGTCCCCAATAATCCCGACAGTTTATGATGTTTCGTGGCACCTTGGCATTCCCATCAAAACATGTTGTTATTGCTTTAAATTTTCCATCAATGCACAGATGAATGACTGGCCTATTTCTGGGTTATTTCACCTGGAATATGACCAGAACTAGAAAGTAATGACTATCCGTGTGAGCTTCCAAGAAACAGCGTGATTATGTCTGGGCACATATGGCAGATTTGATCTGACTGCCAGGGCTTTTTTTCTCTCACCATCAGAACACAACACATCAAATAAGAGATAAAAAAAACATTCACTGAAGAAAAGCAAAAACAAGAAGATGGCAAACGATAAGAGGGTATTGAATGTAGGATATCAAAAAGTAAAAGATATCACACAAAAGCAAGTATATCAATTAGATTGAAGGGAGAGTCTACAGCCATCAGCTCCGTGTCATCCCAAGACCCCTCAAGCTAGCATGGCTAAACATTTTGAACAGGAACAAAATCTCGATTTCCGAGATTGGTTAATGGGATGGATTGACCACCACGTATCCATTCCCATTTAGTCACAAAATTGCGCTTGGTCAGGACTCCATTGGCATCACTCAGATTTAGGCAACAAAACTTATTGGTTAGATGTAGTAAAAGATCGTGGTTTGGCTTAGAGTTATTTTATGTGACTTACTTGAAATTAGTTAAAATAGCTTTGACTTTTGGTTCCTTATGGGACACAAACTGTGGTCTCCAAGGTGAATGTCCTGTTTGTTTGACCCATCCATCCTTGAAGTCCAGTGTAATATACAGACAATATGTATTTGACAACCTGGGAATGAGATCGGGCTGGATTGCTATGACATTTTATACATGCATACATAGTTGCAAGAGGATGAGTCCTCATGATCACCTGACTTTTCAAGTTTAAATGTTTCCAATACTTTGTTTTATAACCAAATATCCTCCAAAACTAATGACATTCCCAACAGCCTCAGCTGTACTTTGTATTTAGTGCTAATTAACTAATGCTATGGCAACATGCTAAATCTTATAGGCTACCTGCTTAGCATCAGCATGTTAGCATTGTCATTGCGAGCATGTTAACACACTGGTGTTAGCATTTAGCACAAAGCTTCACTCTGCCTAACAGAGCCACTAGCATTGCTAGTAGACGCGTAATTTGACAAATTTATTTTTCTGGTTACAGTTATAATTGCTGTATTTTCCGCAAACTGGAGCCTGAAAGAGCCCCCCCCCCAAAAAAAAAAAATATATATATAAAGGGGTACATAAAAGTGTTACAGAGAATGCCACAAGCTACACAACAGCATTGTGTCCAGGTCAACACACACACATGCCTTCTTTATTGTTGCTTTGCAAGTTTTGGCATCAAAAAACAGAGTGGCATCCCCTCCATTCCCCACCGTCAGATGATCATAGCTGGCAGCTCCCGGAACATGCGGGCACTGCCATATTGCACGCACTCCATCAATATCTTCTTGCAAATTCTGCCAGGCTTTCATTTATAGAGCTTCACC